GGAGAGCAACTGGAAGGGAATCAAAGAGGCAATCACTTCAACATGTCATGAGGTCCTGGGTCACAAGAAGCACCACCACAAGGAATGGATCACTGTTGGTACACTGGATAAGATTCAAGAAAGAAGGAACAAGAAGGCAGCAATCAATACCAGCCGAACAAGAGCAGAAAAAGCCAAGGCACAAGCTGAATACACGGAAATAAACAAACAAGTGAAGAGAAGCATCAGAACCGACAAACGTAAATATGTGGAAGATTTAGCAACGACGGCGGAAAAGGCTGCAAGAGAAGGAAACATGAGACAATTGTATGACACGACAAAGAAACTCTCTGGAAATCGCCGCAAACCAGAACGACCAGTGAAAAGCAAGGAAGGCAAGGTAATCACCAACATTGAAGAGCAACAAAACAGGTGGGTAGAACACTTCAAAGAACTGTTGAATCGACCAGCTCCACTGAACCCACCCAACATCGAAGCAGCACCCACGGACCTCCCAATCAATGTTGGCCCACCAACAATTGAAGAAATCAGCATGGCCATCAGACAAATCAAGAGTGGCAAATCAGCAGGACGAGACAACATCCCAGCAGAGGCACTAAAAGCAGACGTAGCGGCAACTCCAGGGATACTCCACATTCTCTTCAATAAGATTTGGGATGGGGAACAAGTACCAACAGACTGGAAAGAAGGACTACTGATCAAAATACCGAAGAAAGGCGATCTCAGCAAGTGTGATAACTACAGGGGCATCACTCTTCTCTCAATACCGGGAACAGTCTTCAACAGAGTATTGTTAAACAGGATGAAGGACTGCGTAGACGCCCAACTTCGTGACCAACAGGCAGGATTCCGTAAGGATAGATCGTGTACAGACCAAATCGCAACTGTACGGATCATTGTGGAACAATCAATTGAATGGAATTCATCACTCTACATCAACTTCATTGACTACGAAAAGGCATTTGATAGCGTGGACAGAACAACACTATGGAAACTTCTTCGACACTACGGCGTGCCTCAGAAGATAGTCAATATCATACAGAACTCATATGATGGATTACACTGCAAAATCGTGCATGGAGGACAGTTGACAAAGTCGTTCAAAGTGAAGACCGGTGTTGGGCAAGGTTGCCTACTCTCACCCTTTCTCTTTCTCCTGGTGATCGACTGGATCATGAAGACGTCAACGTCTGAAGGAAAGCGCGGGATACAATGGACATCTAAGATGCAGTTGGATGATCTAGACTTCGCAGACGATCTGGCCCTTCTATCCCAAACGCAACAACAGATGCAGGAGAAGACAAACAGTGTGGCAGCAGCCTCAGCAGCAATAGGTCTCAATATACACAAAGGGAAAAGCAGGATTCTCCGAAACAACACAGAATGCACCAATCCAATCACAATTGACGGAGAAGATTTGGAAGATGTAAAAACCTTTACGTATTTGGGCAGCATCATTGATGAACAGGGTGGATCTGATGCAGATGTGAAGGCGCGGATCGGCAAAGCAAGAGCAGCATATTTACAACTGAGGGACATCTGGAACTCAAAGCAACTGTCAACCAACACCAAGGTTAGGATTTTCAATACAAATGTCAAGACAGTTCTACTGTATGGGGCAGAGACCTGGAGAACTACAAAAGCCATCATCCAGAAAATACAGGTGTTTATTAACAATTGTCTACGCAAAATACTTCAGATCCATTGGCCGGACACTATTAGCAACAACGTACTGTGGGAGAGAACAAACCAGATTCGAGCGGAAGAAGAGATCAGGAAGAAGCGCTGGAAGTGGATAGGACACACATTGAGGAAAGCACCCAACTGCGTCACAAGACAAGCCCTCACATGGAATCCTGAAGGTCAAAGGAAAAGAGCAAGACCAAAGAACACATTACGCCGAGAAATGGAGATAGACATGAGAAAAATGAACAAGAATCGGATGGAACTAGAAAAGAAGGCCCAGGATAGAGTGGGTTGGAGAATGCTGGTCAGCGGCCTATGCTCCATTGGGAGTAACAGGCGTAAGTAAGTAAGCAAGTTTTGGTTTGCTTTTTTTAAATAGAAATAAAAATATATAAGCATATTAAAATTGGTTTTTTTATATTACGTATAGTACAAAGAAAATTCGAGATTATATAAAATGTCAACTAGTATCTTACATGCAATAATCGTCCAAATGTTCAAGAAATCTTACTCCTCTTCCAGAAAGCCTTGTTTCAAGTTTATTTTGTGATACTGCCGAAGTATCATCGTGTGTGTTGGCTGTAGGTTGAGGTATTATAAGTGCAGGAGCCGTGTCGTTCGATTGTACAGAAGGAAAATCGACGTGAATAGGATTTCCTTCTAAATACGAAAAGACAGTTGTACCTTTCAAGGTAGCTGTCAAATCGTGAATGTGAGGCAACGGGTAACGATCGGGAATAGTTTTTGCATTCAGTCGCTGATATTCACCAGTTGGACGCCAATCGTTGTTGTCCTTCAAGGGAACATGTGAAACAGAGATGCCCATGGGCTGTTTGACGGTCGTACGATTCCTACGTCTATCGTGTGAACGAATTCGTTTTTGGCTAACTTAAGCTTTTGGGAGGCCAGTCGGCGTGCTTTAGAGAACACAGGTGGTCCTGTAGTCGTCATGTGATATGTAACGCTTCTGGTTACACACGGCAATTTCGCTTGCGTTTGGTATATCCCAGAATACTTATCGAGTGGTGGTTGATAGGATGGGTCTGTCGTGTGCCTAATTGTGACTGGAGATAATCTGCAACCGGAAAAAGAAGTTACACAAACAAATAAATTAGTGTTCCCATCTACTAGCCTCCGTTCGCGCGTATCGATGATTAGATTGAAGTGTTGTATGAGGTCTATACCAATGATTGGCATAGAAACATCTGCAACAACAAAGATCCATATGTAGCGATAGTCTTTCCGTTTGCGCCTGTATGTTTAAAACGAATTCGTGGAGCCGGCTCTTAGAATTCGTTGGAAGAACGCTGACGTCTGCGCCAGTATTGCTGAGGTAGCGAACTCTCGTTGTCACGTCTGTGATGCATGACAGACAGTTATGTTTGCCGGCTACGGTTGCCGGCTTAGAAGTTTCCCGAATTGTTCTTCGTGTCGCACGATTTTGAGCTGGGAAAATCGCGGGGTTTTCTGCAATTTCTGGGGGAATTTCCATACTGTTTATGATACCAGTACCAGGCGATGTTATCCGTCTCCCGTGGTCTAGAGACAGATTGCCTACGTGAAGTGCCTCTTCGCGGGGTGTGTGACCATTTGCGGTCGTTACGAAATTTAAGATAACGCGTAGGTGTATGACATAACTCTGTTATGTCATTCTGGGTCGTTTGAGGCTTTTCTTTGACTGAAAAACCTCGGCATTAGAAGATTTCGTGATTTCTAAAATGCGGTTGACAGATGCAGCCAGCTTGTCTAAGGCGTTGTTGTGAAACGAGACCAGAACTGCTTGCACCTGTTGAGGAAGTTTTGACAAGAAGAGTTGTTTGAATAGACCTTCGTCGAAAGTTCTTGGGCCTATAACCTCTCTCATCCGTTGCAACATGTCTGTCGCAGAACCATGTTGCAGGTCGATGTAATTGAAGAGTTGATCTAACCTTTGTCGATCGGTTAGGTCTCCTCGTTTAAGAATCGAGCGTTTTAAGATTTCGTAAGGATCGGAAACATCACTAGTAAACATTGGAATAAAGTACAAGAACATATGTTCATGAAATCCCAGAGGACGCTGATGTGTGTTGATATATTGGGCTAGTTAGAAATTGGCCAAATAACAAGTACATATGACTGAACAAGAAATGTTAAACGTCTCTAAAGTACCATAGGCGGTTTGATTTTCCAACAGACAGATAAATGTATGAATAAGTTTACATACATGTCGATTCAGATAACTATGAAGAGTTTTCTACTTGCTCTCAGTTTGCTCACTGAGGTAGCCGGTTAGTCTAATTTACAGGAAGATTGGGTATCCGTATCGAAATTTAAAACTGAACAACTCAATAGATTTTTGGAAAGGTAGGTGAGATAAAACTCTAAAATCACACGTCATAATAGTTTCTTTCAATGACTTAGTGAGAAAATGACCCAGTTCATAGCACTGATCGCAATTTCTATTTTTAAATTCTCTTCATGGAATAAACAATTAGTGAGTAAAAAAACAAGGTTTATTCATCAAAGCAAATATTCGATTTAAATTCAAAGAGACAAAAGAACATAATACATGTATGTTTCATGAAAGATAAAGTATGTATAAAATATACATGTTCATAATGAATTTATTGTTAATAATGTTTCAGTCATTATAATTATACAACGTGATTTATTTGAAGTGTATACATTTCTTTTATAACTGTCAGTAATATGAGAATGTTCTATATATGATTTATTGAAGTGGGGAAAAATTAAAGAAAAAATAGTAATAATAACAATGCCATTCATCATCATATTTTCATTATACACTGATGAGCATTAAAATCAGGTGTTTAGATTTATTCCATCAATACAAAAGAAGTTACCTATTATATGAAGTAACGAAGAAAAAAATTATCATCTTTGTTTAAATTCATTGATTATTAGAAAAAAAAAACATTGTTTCAGTGAAGAATTAAGAGAAGTTCATTGATCATTGAACCCTGTGACCGTAATAATTATTGTGCGCTTGTTTTAAGCATACTATAAGCTGTTGTTATTTATGTTAAATGCATTGTAAAAAGACCATAAATAGTAGCAAATTTAAAAAAAAGATTTTATTCAGTAAATAAGTAGTTGAGACATTGACTATATATATTTATACTAATGAAGATTGAGTAAATTAGGTAAGATTTTCATGTAACTAATGAAGTAAATGGCAAATTTATTGACAAAATTGAATTAGGATTGTATTTTTTTAATAATAAAAAATTAAATTTTTCATAATTTATGTATTTACTTTTGGAAGAGAAATGAAGTATGTTTTATTTACAAAAATATATATATATATGAGCCTATTTCATTTTAGTTGAAAACTGATTTTCGTTTGTTTATGAATTAATATTAAATATTCGTTATGTTTGAAGATAATGAGATTGGAAATGATATCGGAAATCTTTACATTCTGAATTTTCATTATGAACAAATTCACCAAATGGAGCTGTATAATGATTTGTAAGAGTACTTGAAGAGACTGGACTTTGACTTACTGCTGAATACTGATCAAATGATACTTCACTAGCATTAGAAGGAGCTGGTGGAACACTAAGCATAAAGTTAGGTACTGAACCTGGAAATGGTGCAGGTTGATATGTTGGTTGTAGAGATTTTTCGTTAAACATTTGGGGATTTATGTTCTGTTCATTTGAACTCATGAAATGAGCTGGAAATTGGTTGAAGTTATTGATTGCCTTCTGAATATCACTATGATTGGATGGTGTCATATTATGAGTATTGGGTGGACAAGGTAAGATACAGTGAGATGGATGAGAAGCAGGTAAACAGTTACCATTCATAAATGATCCAGAACTTGCTTTACTGTTTACACGACTAGAATCGTCGCTAATATTTAAAAGGAGTCTAGGATCACTTGAAATTGGAGTATTTTGAGAAAAATTTACAGACTGATTAAAACGTGACGGATTAACCTGAATGTTAGGATAATGATTTATTAGTTCTTGTCCGTTTGATGCTTGATTGTGTTGATTATCACCTGAATTATAAGTAGATTGAATTCCCATATAAGAATAATTTGGTTTACCAGTGTTTTGACTATTTGAAGATAGCCTAGATGATGTATTTAAACTAGAAGATTTTTTTCCATTCTGTATAACATGATATGCTTCAGGGCTGAGTTCAGCGGTTCGTAATATACATCTTTCATTACTAGAGGATATTAAATGATTTGGAACACGTTTACGTCGAAATACAAACATGTAAGCAATTAATCCAAGAATAGCAAGTAATAATCCAAAAGGAACAAGAAAATATATTAAAACACGTCGTCCTTTTAAAAACGCTGAATCTAAATTGAATAAATGAGAGATAAATTTTAACATTTCACTAATGCGATTACTATATTTGTACATATTTACAAAAGGCATCTGTTATCATAAAACTATTATTCATAGTTAGAAGTCTAGATCCCATAAGTGTGTATCAAATCAAAGCATAAACTATATTTTGATATAAACTGCTCTATTATGTGTTATTTTGATTATAAATACAAAGGTTTCTCGTTTCAACAGTAAAGAATAATTAATTATGACCTAAGGGAATAGTTTGCAAGTAATTACGATGCACTTTTTAAGTATCTTAGTACACACAATATATATATATATATATATATATATATATATATATATATATATATATATATATATATATATATATAATCAAAATAAGCTGTTTACGAAAGTTTTATTTCTGAGGCTAATGAAATTATTTTATTCATTAGAATTTGGATTTCGCATGAAAAGAGGCGTATATGGTAATCCTAAACATCCCTAGACTACACACTAATCTTACTTCAAAAAAAGTGAGCTTGATGAATCAGTTCTTTGAACACCTAGATTCATGAAATGTTTTTAGATCCTTTTCTTTTAAAATATACAAATCAAAACAAACAAATTATAACTGAAATAGAACTAAGTTCCAATATATTAGTACTAAATTAAGTGTTATTATTTTTAATCAAGATAGAACAGGTTTATGTACAACATTTTAATTTAGTTAAAATCGTAGGTTCCAGATTTTAGTCTCATTTACTTATTAAATGACTAAATATAATTCTTGAGTTTGTGACTTTTTTGCGCTAGAATCATTTATTCGATCTAAAATATCCAATTAATTTGATCACCTCTTTATTTGAAAGAACATATTTTTAATCAGAAATAATTCGCTTATAAATAAAAACTAAAGATATGTGAATTCAATAGTAAGCCAACCTCATTCATTTCATTGTATAAAGCTGTTTAAAAATTACGTAGAGTGCTTTTGGTGGTCCGGTATTCGACTTCAATTCGATCGTTTACTGATTGTTATTGAAACATACATACCACCAACCATCGTTTTATAATCATCGACTTAAATTGCGGTAGTGAATAATGGGATTAAATAAGTCAAATACGTGAATGAATCTCGTATGTGTATTTCATACAATTATTGGTCCACACAGATGATCAGAGAAACGAAGCGAGGAGAAGAGAGTGAAGTAAGACGAATCAGAGAAGGCATGTAAGCTAACCCGATTTATTAGAGCGTGAATAGATCTTTATAGCCAGATAAAAATGGGTTACAGATATGTGCTGAGTAGGGTAAGGGATTAACATACACGCTCATACAAAAACAGTCAAGGTTAATAGGCTAATAATTGACAGGGTCAAATGTGACTCATGAAAAACGAATACATTGATCCGTTTTGAATCTAAAATAACGCATGTGGGCGTGACAAAGCACCAGCCACTACATGCTTATTGGACGGTCATATACACTCTGCATCTGTCTAGTCAACGATCTTGCTCTTATGAACGTTCTTGTTTTTAAGTCGTACAATTACATTCCCATCTGTATTGTACTTGCCTTTAGTCATATTCGATTAAATGTTTACAAAAAGCGTGGTGGGTAATGTGTGACAAGAGCATAGCATCATTCGAGTCTATCAAAGTCAACTTTTAAGAATACTTAACCCTACAAACTTTACGATTGTTATAAGAAGAAAATGCTTTGAACTTACCTTGAACTATATTCACATATATTACAATATATTCTAAACTTTTAACATCTGACAAACTCATAGTCATAACAATATACTTTCCTTCATGTCGTTCTTTATTTAATGGTTTTTGAAATCGCAGTTTCGTCATAAATAATTGTTCTTTCTTCTGATTTTGTTTATTATTGTAATTCACTTTAGGCTGAAAGTAAATTGACGGTTTTTCGTCATTATTACTATCAATAATTTGTAAATGATTTAAATCTCTATTAGCATTTAGTGATGATGATGTTGGTGATGTTTTCATATCATGAAGACTGTCTAATCTATCTGTATAGGCTGTTGTTTTTTCTACAATAGCAGGTGAGTTGATCCATGAACCTAAGATAACATAGATTTCATTTTGCTCAGTTATTCTTGCATTTGGTAATGGAATTTTGGTTGCACCTGACTGTTCATACATTAATTCTTCGCCTGGTTCAACTCGTTTTAACCACTAAAAGTTTAGAAGTAGTTAGAAAAAAAAGATAGTAATAATAATAGCTATTATACATAGAAAAATTATGTGAAAAACTGGAACTACTTAAAAGTAGTTTAAATTCATATATGTATTATTTGTTGTGAGGATTTTCCTATTGATGTTTAGGACTGCAATTGATTAGCCTCTTATTGATGAGATTGAGGATGCACCTTTCGTAACGTTAGTCATTTTCTTTTAAAAGGAGGCTTGTGATATTTTTTTGATCAACTCTAACTATTTAACAGCAATTAACTCTTATTTCATTGTTTGGTTCTATCGTTTATTGCTTACTTTGGAATTGTATACTTTATTCCAACTGAATAGAAGTAAATATCGTGGCGAGACTGTAACTTATGGACGTTCCAGTTAGATATAAGATAATAGGTCTTGGATTTTGGCGCAAAATTCATTCATCCATTTGGTTAAATAACGTTTGGGGATTTTGACTGATGTCAGCTAGTGATGAAAACCCTAAATCATATTTTTAAAACTAACTATCAAATGTAAATCATAATCACTGGTTTATCACCTTTATTTAATTCTAGTTAGTGGGAGGACATTCTTAAAGTCACTTTAGGATCGCTCAGAGGTTGTCCGTAAATTATAATCTCACCAATATCGTTAGTTACGAAAAATAAAACTGTAACGTGTTAGGTGATAAGGAGAATGTCGATTACATTAGTTATCAAAAATTCACTTATCATACATTAATCTCAATTTTATTTGCATGAGGCCAATAAACGTGATAGTTTAATCATATGGAAGATTTTGTTTTTCTCATCCTCAGTTATTTCAAGAAGAAATCAATTTCGGAGTTCAAAATAATTTCATGATCACATAATACTAGATCATTGACCCAAATCAGTAGAACACAATCGTATTCTATCGTATATTTATTTCAATGTATATGTCTGTTAGTTAATTCTTGGATTGGTTTATGTAAACCAAGTGAAGTACTACTAAATACCGAGAAACTCGTTTCACATTTATTACATCTTTTTATAGAGAAATGAGGATTAAATGGTTAAATCACATGAGTTTCAGTCACATGATAATAGGTTTAATTTTTTCTCTGCCTAATTTACCTTCGACAGCTGGTTATTACTACTGGACTTTATGCAAAAATGTTGTAAATTTGATTAGCTCACCCTTTACTTACTTGATAGATCACATTTTCTCGGGTCACATTATCAATGGAACGTACTAAGGAGTAGAAATATTTTAAATTATAACGACTGACAGTATCTGATTTTCAAAATCCTTACTGATACAGTTGTATTTGGATATGAAGAAATCATTTGGATTATTGGTTTCTAATTACATACTAGACTCAGTAGCTAAATGGTTATTTGAAACTAAAAGCACTGCATTTTAATATTGGTGTAAACAACAACATTTAGAATGAAGGTATATCCAACTGACTTATCCGAAATAGGATAGAAAGTATATCACAATTGATTGATCACTGGGTGGTGATCAATGTCATGTGTGTCAAGTCCTTCTTAGTGCAGATCGAATGCTATCCACCATGTTGCAATGTGGCCACCAGTCTAGGTGACTCGACATTGCGTGCACTATATTGAGATTAGATGGTGGTTTGAGGTAGTCGACAGGAAACCCTGCATACCGGTCTCGTGCTGCTTGGCACTCGTCAGCAAGGTGTACCTGTAATCTTGAGGGAACTGGTGCTCCCTGGCGGACTCGATCCCGTGTCACGCGGCTTCACAGTCAGAGACGTTACCACTGAGCTATCCGGGCCGCAACCGACCTTTCACGCAGTGTCAAGTCACCTAGACTGGTGGCCACATGGCAACATGGTGGATAGCATTCGATCTGCACTAAGAAGGACTTGACACACATGACATTGATCACCACCCAGTGATCAATCAATTGTGATTACATCTCAGTCCTACAGGAGGTCAGTCGCGGCTCGGATAGCTCAGTGGTAACTTCTTTGACTGTGAAGCTGGGTGACACGGGATCGAATCCGTCAGGGAGCACCAGTTCCCTCAAGATTACAGGTACACCTTGCTGACGAGTGCCAAGCAGCACGAGACCGGTATGCAGGGTTTCCTGTCGACTACCTCCAACCACCATGTAATAGAAAGTATATCCACAACTATACATTTAGTCACTATCAAACTTTAATTTAAACTACTTGAATTTTTGAAGTGTTTTTTTTAATGTTTCTTTTCAACATTAGTAATTTTTTCCTAATTACTTCTCATTTATTGTTTCTAGTATGATTTTATACAATCTGTCGATAATTAATTCGTTTTTCTTTTGGTTTTTTTATCAATGAAACTGTTATTACCCTTGGGCAATTTCTATATCGAGAATGACACGTGTCTATGAATAAATAATCATCTTTATTGTATATTACTCATCTTCGAATTATCATCAAATTTTAAGCTTATGCATATCTTCTAAATATGTATCATCCTCTATAAAACTATCTTTTATTCTCAGGATTGAGTTACTTTGACAAAAACTAATTAATTTCTGATAATAATGTCAAGTCTACTTTATTATTATAACTATACAAATTCCTTATATTGTTCTAGATATGATACATAAGTTGTATGGTTACAATTAGTACTGAAACAAACAATAATATTCGATGTAAACTTTTAATAAAAAAAGATAAAATAATTGTAAGTAAAAATACTTGTTAAAATTAAAAACTGCAAGTCAATCAAAGTTAGAGAATGATTGAAAACTCAGAAGCACTGGATAGCTGTCTGGTCTTAGTATGGAACTCTTCAGCAGTATGCATTCATAATCATACACGAGGGAATTGAACCATGGATATTTAGTTTTTAACACACTGCTGAGGAGTTCTATACTTTGATAAGATGGATATCTAGTGCTTCTAGGTTTTTTTTATTGGTGATTTAGCTCAATTGTGAAAATACTAAAATCTCTAAAAATCGCCCATACTAAAATAAGATGACAATCAGTTAGAAATCACATATTTTTAATATAATTTATTTCAATAGTTGAAATCATGAGTCATTTGAAGCTAGACCACTATGGAAAACCTGGAAGCACTGGACGGTTGTTTCGTCCTGGTATGAGACTCCTCAGCAATGCGCATCCACGATTCCGCCCTCTCAGCGAGGTCCAAACTCAGGACCTATCAAGATCGTGTGCAAGCGCTTAACCATTAGACCACTGAGCCGGCATCCAACGGTGTTAATGTCTAACTTTCTTTCGAATTTTTAATGAATAAGATAATAAAATTTATATAATAATATAATAATTGTGTTACTAATTGATAATAATAATGGCTTACTTGTATCACAGGTTCATCACATGCACATTTTATTCTAGCGATAACTGTAGCACTATCATCAGTTTTAAATGTATAATTCTGTACAGGACCAAGAATTTTTGGTGTAGCCGATGGTGGTTCTATAAATCAATGTAATTGACAAAAAATGAGAGCGTCATTCAATCAATCATAAGTAAAATAATACAGAAAAATCTGAATTTCTTTCAAATGGAATCGAGAATGAAACTTTTAGCTAAAAACGAGTTTGTTTTGGTATATAGAAGAGATTATCTGAATTAGATACTGTTAGTCATAGTTTACACAGTATATTGTAGGATTTTAAATATTTTTAGAGACTCAACACTACAGTCACACTATAAATTCATGAAATATTTATAAAACAAATGATCATCCTGTTGCCGATCTATGATAAGATAGTCTATTCTGTAAAAGACGTGAATTCAGAAGGTAAGTAGTCAGACTAGAAAAAATTACTGATAACATTATGTTATTTGAAAATGATATTAGACCAACAGTTTAGCTTTCTGGTTAGATAGCAAGTGGGAAGTACTCTGGTGTTTCTCTTTCAGTAACAAATGAATTACTCGTTGTTTTAATTCATTTTTAATTCAAAATGTAGCAATGTATTAATTCATTCTTTGAGTTTACTGACTAATAATTCTGGACAAATCTTGATGTAAAATATTTTCAGCACTAATTGATTTTGTACCATTTTGTTTACCATACAGTTTGCATCACACACTGATCTTTGTTAGACAACCATTGAAAACGAGTAAGCACTGACTAGAAGTTTCACCCTTATAGATAACTCTTCGGCAGTATAAATTTACGACTCCATCGGGGTTCGAATGCAGAACCTTTAGTCACGATGCTAGTGCTCAACATCTAGATCATCGAACTTACATCCAGTTGTTTAGGTTTCTAAATTCGCTCAAATCACGACACTGTGTAAGCGACGCTCATCACTATCAGTAATATTTGTCTCACGCTCGACATAACTGAACTTGAATGGTCACGGCTACTCAATGAAACCCCGCATGTAAGTTCTTGCAACTAGTCATTAGTTAGTAGGTGCTTATATATAATACATGGAGTTCGTAGAGATTGTTGAATTTTGTCGTCAACGGCTATTAGTAAAAATGGATAGAACTAGCCAAAAATACACTTCGATTTTTAAAAATTTAATTATAAATAAATGTTAGTGACAATTTCTTCAACTGATCTAAAATGAATTTTATGAGCTGTATATTTATATTCTCCACTTGACAGATCAGCCTTAACACATCAAGTTATAACCGGAGAAAAATATTCATTAAGTGTCGGTTTAGATTTTGTTATCAACTTATGAGTTTGGATAGATCAATAGCTTTAATAAGTGATGCACAATTGAACTCATAGTCGAAAATGTTGTCAGTTTGTAACTACTGAAGTGATTTAGCCATCAAAACTGAAGTGAGTGCATTCGGTTTTGAATTTGTAATCCGAATGTTACAAGTTGGGAGCTATTCATATTTTGTGCAAACTGGTTGCGTATCATCTTAAAGCGTCGAAAAAAGTCAGCATATCCACAGCTTCATCATAAGCAAAGATATATGGTGACTTGCAAAGGAATCTAGGACACCCGTTTCGTCCCATATGGAACTCATCAGCTGGATGTACGTGAATCCCACAATTGATGTTCGCTCTGGGATACGAGTTCACAGCCTTTTGATTCAAACGCCATCTGTTATCCACTTAGCTATGGAGTCCTGATAACACTTGGCTTGTGCAATAGGGTGAAGTTTGAATATTCTCATTGATGTTTAGCACTGCAATTGACCAGTCTCTTATTGGTATATATGCATCTTGTGCGAATTGCCTCTATATTGTCTTAATTCACAAGCATTATAAGCAAAGATGGATGGAGAAGGGTGCTGGGATCGAGTCCCTTACTGAACATCAAATCTGGAATACATTTACATCTAGCTGACAAATCCCAAATAGAAAGAAACCCGTGTCCTGAATTCCACTGGTAGTCACTACCCATCCAATACAAAAATGAATTATATACACAGTCCCACCTAACAAATATTCATTAATCCATAAGTGGTATTTTAGGAGTATTTTTTGTACGCACTTTACACTGATACAGATAACCTGGAAATTTCAGGGAATATATTTAATGGAATATAAACCAGTTAGCATTATATACATTTTTTTCCAATATGGTGGAGATTTAATTCAGATAATAGAAAAGAAAACTCTCCACATATTTTATTCAAGAGATATCAAACACTGAAAGGTAGGTACGAGAATAGAGAAGTAAATGTTTTATTTTTAAACGTTAGAAAACATTTTTTTATTTTGTGTACATTTCAATGCATTACTGACAGGTAACTTTATTCACTAATATCAAGAATATTATTATTATTATTATAACCGTTCTAATCAAACTTCAATTCTTATTATAATTATGATGATTGTGTATGAAGAGAAATTAAAGTATGCAAACGAAAGATGAGTGGATTAATTGACAGACTGTTAAGAATTTAGAATTCCACTACATCACTAATAATAATAATAATAGTGAGTGGATGATGTTGATAATAATGAATAATATGGAAAATGACCCAGACGTAAATAATATAATATTCTATAAATAAAACAAGCATTAAGAAATATTCTTTTCTTCTACTTCTTTAATTTGTCCATCATTCTTTATCAATCATTGTAAATCAGTAAGACATAAGAATAAATGAATGAATGAATGAATAAATAAATAAGAAACAACTTCATTTCTTTCTGTTTCTTGTTACCCTTTACTTATTTACTTGAATTTTTCGCAAAAGATGTTAATTTTATTTATAACTTTCCGGATTAAAATAACACTGTTGTGTATTAATTTTTCGATTTACACTTTAGATAGATTGTAACTTCTTACCCCTTGTGTTTAAGTTATCTTATCTTTAAATGCTTCACAATTCATGATGACAATGACATTCGAATTATACTTGGTTTGTGAGATAGCCTAATTTGAAATATAAATACATAGCAGTACATTTAATTGGACAAAGAACATAATGAAGATATTTAATATAGAAATGAGTTTACAAGCAATCAAACAAGATTAAATATCATACTATATTGAAGTGACTAATTAATCTGGACAACTTACCACTAACTAAGAGCCTATAAGTGTAATTAAGACTTCCCACTGAATTCGAAACTTGACAAGTATACTGTCCAGTATGTTCTCGACCAACTCGATCAATTGTTAAAATTGGTCCACGAACACCTTGACCAGTTGTTATCCAATCAGCTACAGCACTACCCATAAACCATCTATATTTTATTGGTTCAGTACCTTCAGCTTCACAATTAAATGTGACAGATGAACCAATAAGTCTCTCTAAACTAATTGATGGGTTAGTTTTCAAAGCCGTATCAGTAAAACATGGGGCTATATCAATAAAGAAAGGAAATTATATTTTTTAGTATGTGAATTTGCGGAGATTTAAGTATTTCCAAAGTTGAATTCACCAGTCGATCTAAGTTTGTGACAGTGGATAAAATCCATTTCGTGGTCAGTGAAGTTCAATCCATATCGGGTGTGAGACAGTTATCAACCGTAGGCAGTGGATGAAGCGCTACTCAAGAACACGGATCGATGGAAGTTAGGCATCAACATCATTGAGGGCCGGTTAAGTGGTCTAGAGGATAAGGGTTCACGCGTGAGACTGATGGTCCTGCGTCCTATTCCCACGTGTGGGATCGTGGATGTGCACTTCTGAGGAGTCACGTGCCTGGTCAAAATGGCTGCCCAGTGCCTCCAGGTTGTTCAATGATGGTCTAGCTTAGATCGACAGGCAAATCCAACTTTTAAAGTATTTTTATTTAATTTACAAAATTCGACATTAAATAATTAAATTGCATGAACAATTATCAGTTTTACAGAGAATAAGAGGGTAAAATAGGTCTCAAAACTTAGTAGTAGTTTGTGCTGATGATGTTGTTCAGAAGAACGACGAAGGCTCCATGACCAAAACATCCAGCTCAGAGAAAAAAACTCTATCAGAAGTAGTCATTATAACAGATTTCACGAACCATTTTAAAATTACTCCCTATCGAATAAATATTCTTTGTAATATTACAGTTTCTGACTTATTCTTAAATTCTTAAGCCTATTTTACCCTCTTTTAAGATCTTAATTTGTTGCAAACTTATTTTATACAACGTGTAGTTGAATAGCATCTGATGTTATGGCACAAAATCAATTGTAGTGGTGTATAGTAGTTAAGCCTCTCTTCTCGTAACCTTGAGTTCTAATTTCATTTAATATGGTCCTTACTTCCGGAATCTTATTTCCTATATTCGAATCGTTGGTTCTATTATTATTTTAAATCGTTTGATTAATGTTTATATCTCCCCTTGTTGTATAGATATGAAACATGAAAAGTTGAATCAATGCCATTGGCCACATGGTAATGTAGTGAACAAGAACACCAGTGGGGACAATCGAATGCATTTGACACAAAATTACAGGACTTGTTAATAAAATCTAACAATCATAAAGTAAATGCTTAATTTGCAAAATGTCCACCAATTGTCTCAAAATGACTCAGACTTCATTGTTCTTTCATTTTCATACATTTGCATTCTGTTTCCATTCTTTACTGTTCGATCCTCTTGTCTCTCTGCTGTCACACCTTCTGTTCACGACTAACACCATATACTACTTACGTCAATATAAGTAACACACACCACAGTATTCCTTTTATTTTCCTTGCTTTAAATTACTCAGAACTTGTTGCATTTATATATTCTTTAATGTTTACTTCCTTTTACTTAAGTTTCAACATGAGAATTTTTTATAACATAACCACATTGTCTATATGATAAGCAAAACTCTACATGAATTGTGAGAATAAGTTATGTATATATATATATATAATTATTTTTTGTATTACAAGTTTACCTTTTGCTTTGGTATTCTCCACATTTGGGATAGCACATAGAAGATTGACATTAGGATCTGTAATTCAAGAGAGAGAAAAATGTTAACTTGCATTTAAGAAATATTTTATAATGTAAAACTAATTGTTGTCAGTCAAAAAGGATAAATTGATTATCGGAGACTATTCATGTGATCGATGTTCAGAGTAATCTAATTAAAAATTAAATGATTGACATATTTTTAGCTATGAAAGTATGGATATAACTACATTGTATACCTTAAAAAGATACAAATCTTCAAGTTATACACAAGAGTGTCTAAGATAATGTTTATTATACTTCTTCATTTCCAACTTAAAAACTATGCAGAAGGAGTTTATTTTGAGTTTTGGGGTACATAAAATGCATCAAAGAATAACAAAGAAGTAGTTTTAATTTTTTTTTCTAGGCCCTAATATGAAGACATATGAGTTGAACATTGAAATATACATGACTTAGTCGAGACCTTAAGATTACTTAACAACACTAATAGATTTAACCTGGCTAAATTTGTCACCTCTCAGTGCAACAGGTTTATGATGAAGCATAAATTAAGTTTATAATCTCATAACCAATATATATAACCTTCCAGTTGATTACCGACTTCCAGACCAAGCTATCAATGACTCAGACCTGGTATCAGCTTCATTCTTTGATTTATTCAAAAGAACCTTCGCAAGTTTGGCAAATGTAAACTTATATAGTTAACTTCGGTCTCCCAACCTCCTCTTATTGGCTGGAGCTCAATAATATAACGATATGGTGTATGACGTAAAGGCGAGGATTGGCGAAGCAAGGACAGCATTCCTACAGTTGAAGAACATATGGAACTCAAAACAACTATCAGCCAAAATCTTTGATGTGAACGTCAAGACAATTCTACTGTGCAGAGCTGAAACTTCAAGAACTACCACAACCATCATCAAAATGATACAAGTATTTATAAACAGTTGTCTACGTAAGATACTCCGAATCCGTTGGACGGATACCATCAGCAACAGCCTACTATGAGAAAGAACAAACCAGGTTCCAGCTGAGGAAGAAGTTAGGAAAAGACGTTGGAAGTGAATAGGACACACGCTGACGAAATCATCAGACTCTATCATGAGTCAGGCGCTCACTTGGAATCCTGAAGGGAAACAGGAAGGAAGAAGGTCAAAGAACACATCGTTTCGGAAACTGGAAGCATATATCAAAAGGATGAATAGAAACTGTGAACAAGTAGAAAGTATTGCCCAGGACGGAGTTGAGTAGAGAATGCTTCTCTATGAGGGGTAACAGGCGTAAATAAGTATAGTGTATGACAGAACTTCTCACTAATTTGATGTTTAAGTGAGTTCTCACGCTTAATGACCTCATTTTTAACAAAATCAGGATCAATATGTGTTTCATTTCATCTACTGGTTTAAAATGTTAACTACGAAGGATAAATTTATCTATATTTTTAAGTCATTTGTTATAGCTATATGACTAATATGATTGTTGTTGTTTTTAATTTAACCGATATTGTCATTTTAAAGCTGAGCATTATTTCTTTTGTTTTAGATACCTGTTGACCTTTTAATGTTTATTCATGCTTATGGTCTGTTTTTATTATTGTTATTGTAATATAGATTAACTATATGATAAATAAGTTAGATGAATTTTTCACAAGCAACTGCATTTTTGTTTTTGCTCAATCAAATTTGACCTAATTAACAAATTTGTGAGAAATTAATGGATGACAATATTTTGTAATTAATGACCAATAGAGAGGTTAATTATTTTATAAACATCTGTTTACCTGTATTAAAGTACATATTCATTAATATTGTAAATTAATGAACAATAAACATCATTAACTGAAATTCCAACAGAAGGTCATCAGTCTGTACTGATAAAAGTTTAATAAATAATTTTGGGAAAAAAAAATTTCCAACAAAATAACATAGTGGCCTCATAAGGGGATGATAATCAGCTTGGAGCCTTGTTCAAAGGTTCTTTGTCCAATTGCTTCCAGTCATGTAACATCACTGATCATTGTTAAGGTTTGGACAATATAAAATTGATTTTTATGGATTAGCAATTAGTAAGTAATAAAAATTACAATACTTACACTAGATTAACATCTAAGCATAATCATAATAAATAAGATTAAGTCAAATTTAGGTAAAAGAAAGTAATTAACTGGATCTTATAAGGATACAAGTGAAGCAATAAAAGGAAATAAAATTTCGAAGAATTTGAAGATTACTTATGGTTACTTTCATATTCGGCGACCCGCTTGAATATCTAGGCTACCTATTGCTTCCATTTAGATATTTCAGCAAGTTATCTGTTTCCTTGTTTTGTTTTAACAGATCATTATGTCAATTAATTACAAAACCTATTCTGATAAGTTTGTGACACGTTTACGACATTTCCCTGTACGAGTTACAAACATGTACAATCGAAAACATCATAGTGGTTGGTAATATGCATTGAAAACAATGAATATTATTCAATTATTGACTTTTGAAATGCTAATATCTAACTGGTAATCACTTTAATATCAATCAAGAAGTCAGGAACAACAACTCTCTGAAATAGGTTCTATAATGTACCCAAAATATGTTATTGAATAAAGCCACTAATAATAATAATGTAAAGTAATAAATTCAAAAGTTGATTTCCTTTTAATTGCTTTATTCCATTCAGATTTCTATACCTAATTCATGTTACTTATAACTAAATATAAATTCATATTATTTATTTTAAATCCTGTGTTGATTTTGATGTGAATAAATGACAATATTAAACCATACATCATTCCAGTAATATGTTCAACTTTTAATCAAATAGTTGAAAAGTAAAATGTTTCAACCTCAAATTACTTTTCTATTATATATTTGTTACTTAGATATTAAATATAAATTTGAAAATAGACTAAACATTGATTTTCTTCCATTCTATAGTCTTCAAAACGTTACCTTCTATGAACAACTCTATCATGTTAGTAATATACACAGTGAATCTTTATTGGATAATTTTTTTATTGTTTTTAACATAGGAACACAATATAGAATAGTTATATTGACGAAGACAACTTTTTTTCAACATTAATTTTTATAAGGAGGAGAGGAAGACCAAAGAACACATTACGCCGGGAAATGGAGATAGACATGAGAAAAATGAACAAGAATTGGATGGAATTAGAAAAGAAGGTCTAGGACAGAGTGGGTTGAAAAATGCTGGTCGGTGGCCTATGCTCCATTAGGAGTAACAGGCGCAAGTAAGTTATTTTTATAAGATCAGACAGTAAGAATATTTGTTATTATGATACCATTAATAGAATTTGAGAGAAACAATTGAATAGTACTATAGTTCTTATTTAATAATTCAATTAAAATATTAAATTTCAGATCATCCATATCAATCTATTTTTCTTTTGTAATATTAGATTTCAATAGAATAATTTAATATGGTGAATTCATTCAAAAATTCATTCTCTATGACTGATAAGGTTATCTTGTTTTGTCATCAAAGAACATTTCTTCTACCCTCGTTTCCAAATACATACATATATCCATCATGATAGACATGACATGCGATATATGATAGGAAATTGTTTAATGTTATAATCATTTGGAATATACACATTTAACATCATAGTTTATATCAGATGGAAATTTCCTGTTTGAGTTAGGTCGAATAATAATAAAAAATGGTAGATTATTCTTGTCTGATATAAATAAGAAAAGTTCACGCAATCTCTTAAAGAAAACATTGATTAACCATTTATGTTTATTTCTTAAATAAGTTGATCTTTATGATAAGAATGAAAAATTCATACCAAGTACAATTACATATGATGCTATATATCTATATTCTTTCGTGATTGATTATCAGTATATTAAACTTCTTATGGAAATGTATGCATTCAACATTTAGAGATTATCCAACTAGGATTGGGTTTTTTTTCTCGACAGAACTCATACTTATTGTATACACTCAATTTGATTAGTATATATATATTCTTTATTCTCCTAACACTACTTTATTATAAACAATATCACAAGTATTTATAACACTATTCTACTGAAGTAATCAGTTACGAAAGAAATTTACAAGCAATACAAAAAGTATACTAGCATACATTTAGAAATAAAAAACATTTATAAAGTTTATTTAGTTTCTAATGAGTTGAAAGATTATAAATGATTGTTATAAATTTTTAAAATTACTCTTTGTTTGGATGACAAAAAATACATTACTATGACCCCAAATACCCTACTACGGCCAAAAGTGAGGAGAGTCAACTTTCCTTCTCGAAATGCTCTCACGTCGCCACATGTATATATTCATTGTCAGGGAGGTCTTACTCATTGCCTTCTCGAAGAGAAGGTGTTGTTTAACAAAATTCAGAACACGAATAATGAATATCCAAAAATTTAAACAGTTTGGTGGATATAGCGAATCCACATAGGGGAGTTTGGAAACCCTGATTCCATACCAATAGTTTATATGAGTTCCAGAATCGTAAAGGAAGAAATAGTGTTAACCCAATATTGGTCATTGGTTACCATGGGACTGCATCTCCTGACGTCGTCCCACTGGCTTGTCAATCAAACCTTTATGTCGAAGGCTCCAGGTGTGGCTCCCTAATAAAGCCACCTGCTTTGGGCTGAGCACCCGGGTAGTATCTCAGCCCACACATAAATCAAGTGATTTGTGTGGCGTATATGTATTTGGTGCCCCTTTGTACTAATATTTATGTATTTAAATAAAACGAATAAATCAATATGTGTAAAATATGAGAACATACATCTGTTAAACACCAATATTTCCCTTTAATAAAAAAGAACCTAGATCCTATAAATCCAAGTGTTTTGTAAAGAAAATATTAACAATAATATTGTTATTAATATTATTTATTAGTATTACTTACTTACTTACTTATATATAAACTAATGCTGAATCATTTGAAAAATCATACATTAAACTATGCCTTATTGTTATGGTGATTTAAAAATCAATATATTTTATTTAATTGACCTATTAAATTTTTTTTGTTTTTTAATAATATACCTCATATACCTTGTAGAAAGTATTTTTTTATATTTTTCAATTTTATTAATAATATCCGTTTATCAATTGAACAATACCTAAAATTAAACTATTTTATTATAGTAATTTCAATAGTTGAGGTCATGAATTAATTGAAGCTAGATCACCATAGAAAATTTGGAAACACTGAACGGCTGTTTCGTCCTATTGTGGGACTCCTCAGCCGTGTGTATTCAGGTTTTCTATAGTGATCTAGCTTCAAATGACTCATGATTTCAACTATTGAAATTACTATAATATCCACAAAAACCTCTTCTGATATTTTATTATATTTGTCTAAAAAACTGGAGAACAATTTGAATAAATTTATTTCAGTTTGCTTATACATACAAAATATAAATTTTGGTATTTTAACAATTAGTGGAGTCTTGGATGTGATTTTTAGTTTGATATGACATTCTTCAAATAGTTGTATTTTCATTTATGTTTACATTGATATTGGTCGCTTAAAACTTTAAAATATTATTCACCTGGATAGAGAGTCACGATAGTCATTAACTGAAAAATTAAACACTTAGTAACAACTAGTTTAACTATTTTTCTGATTCAGATCATGAACCGATTGATGTTCAGTGGTTCAGTAGGTTAAGCGATCGCGCGCCAGACCGAAAGCCCTTGGGTTCGAGTCCCGAGAGCGGGATTGTGGATGCGCGCTGCTGAGGAATCCCACAATATGACGAAACGGCCGTCCAGTGCTTCCAGGTTTCCAAAGGTGGTCTAACATCAATCGGTTCATGATCTCAGTCAAAAACTTAATAATCTCCACGACCCCTATACTAGTAGTTTAACTATGTTAAATTAACTTTTTTTAGTTAGTAAACAGACTAAAACTATTTTTCGAACTGTTCATTCAAGGTTCTCAGTTGTGATCTAGCTTAGATCGAGTCATGAATTCAACAATTAAAATTACTACAATCTCCATTTGGTAATAATCATATGATCACCAGTAACTAGCTTCAAGATCGGTTTCATCAAGTTCCAGTAAGAAGCTATGACCAGTGGAGTTTAATCCGTGTCGGTACAGATAGTTTTCTACTTTAAACAACGAATGAAATATTGCGAAAGATCATTGATCGATTTCATTTAGACATTAACACCACTGAATTCACTTGGTATTGTCTGGCTTGTATCTTCCCATTGAAGTTTAAGAATGCAATTGATCAGTCTGTTGTTGGCATTTGTGCATACTGTGCGTATGCCTTGATATGCCAATAACAGACTGATCAATTGCAGTCTTAAACCTCAATGGGAAGACACAAGCCAACCAATACCAAGTGAATTTAAATTCACCCCATTGTACAAGCAAGTGACTATCAGGACTCAGTAGCTGAGTGGATAACCGAGATCGAAGGTATTGGGTTCGATTCCTACATGTGGAATCGTGGATGCGTACTACTCAGGAGTCCTATACGAGAACAAAACGGCCGCCCAGTGCTTCAAGGTTTTCAGTGGTGGTCTAGATTACATCGACTCATGAATTCAACAATTAAAATTACTACAATCCCCAAAAATCCTCATTCCGACATTAAAAAATGACTGTCAAACCATTTTCAGATTTAATTTCACTCTCCATCCATAAATTACGTTGTTCATTAAAATTTTATTTATTACGTACATACTAGAAGCTATAGAATAAAAAGTGTGAATTAGTTGTTAAAAGAACAATATTTGTTCTTTTTTGTATGTGTTGACAAATTTACTTTTATCAAACTTATATAATAAGTACATAGCATAGTTATAGAAAATTAGTGAACAGACAATATTTATTAATCTGTGCTATTGGAAATGTTCCAAAAAGCTTGGATTCAGTTCATAAATTCAACAATTAAAACTATGTATATTAATCCTTAAGGATTATGTTTAATCGATTGATGTGTATCCGAACTCATTAACTGATACAGAATTAGAAATGGAAGCAAAAAAATAAATACCAGAGTCAAGTTTCAGTAAAGTATTAACACTATGAAGGAAGTATCTGTGGCTAAATTAAGTCCAAATTAAGATGGATCGCCTGTCCTAGATCTTTTTTTTGTGTGTTCATTTGACTGAAAGTATTATAATTTGGCACAAATCAATAAAATGATGTATAGTTTTTACTTACCTCTTACATGAACTTCAAATGTTACTTCTCTTTTTCCAAAACCGGTTATTCCAGAACACGTATAATTGCCTGAATCAGAAACTTGTAATGGTTCAGTAACTTCAAGGATACGACGTTGTTGACTGAAATGATAATGATTATTGGTATCCAATGAATAATCATGTAAATCTCGTACTTTCCAATTATAAATAACACCAGTATTGTATTCAAGTTGATGTGTTTTAGAACTAGCATCATTATCATTGGATGAAGAGACTAGGCCACCAGTTGAAGTAATGTGAATAGGACATTCAAGACGCAGTAAATCACCAACTTGTAAACGAATTTGGTTATTATGATTTACAACCATTGGTACTTTCGTATCTGAAAGCATTAAAAAACAAAGTAGTTGATGATAAAAGTGGAAAACTCAAAGTTTAAGTTTCTGATTAAAACTATTGTTGTGTAAAAAGATAAAAAAAATCATCATTTGGATTCCTGTACTTTTGTTTTAAATATGTAGCTATATGTAATGAGTGCTGAATTATATATGCATTTGGATATTTTATGAAAATTTTATACTTGAAAAATAATTTATGCTATACCAGCTGAAGATGTTCCTCTCTAGTTAACGAGTCCCTAAGTATGTATATGTATGCTAGGAAGGTCCTACTCATTGCCTTCTCGAGACGGTGTTGTTTAACAAAATTGAGAACACGAATAATGAATATAAAACATTTTAAACAGCTTGGTGGATATAACGAATCCACCTAGGGGAGTTAGGAAACCTTGATTCCATACCAATAGTTTATATGAGTTCCGGAATCGTGAAGGAACAAATAGAGTGTGAACTTAATGTTGATCATTGGTTACCATGTAATTGCATCTCCTGACGTTGCTCTACTGCTTTATGAATTAGACCTGTAGATCAAAGTCTTGTGATGTGACCCTTTAAGAAAACCATCTGCTTCGATTTGAGCACTCAGACAGTATTTTATCCCTCACACAAATCGAATGATAACGTGTAGTGCATATATTTGCTGTCAAATATATCATACATATCATTTAGACATACAGTTACTTTACATTAAATGTGACATAAAAACAATATAACTTTTATTAGTGCAACTACTATTACTATTCATATTACTTGTAATAATAATAATAACTTCGACCTATTCAAATAAACTTGAATGACAGATAATAATCATGCACTTAAGTATTTACTGAAAACAAGATTATCACCCTTAGTTTATTAAATTATATTCAGTATAGACAACTATTGTTTCATTGTTTTATTTAACTAATATTACATATAATTTTATAATCATCTGATCAGATGTTTTCGTTTTGACCAATAAATGAACTTTATATATATATATATATATATATATATATATATATATATATATATATATATATATATATATATATCACGTCATGATTACATAATTTATATGAATACTAAATAAGTAACTGAATGCTGGTGAGCGGCCTGTGCTCCTTCAGGAGGAGTAACAGGCGTAAGTAATTGAATATAGAAAAAGAAACAAAGCAATGAAATAATAACTAATTTCCTGCTGTTTTTTTTTCTTTGAGAGAAAAAAAAAGTTTTTAATTTATTTTATTATTTGAAAGAAGAATAAAAAGGATCATTTAATCTTGGAACAGGTGTAACCATTTATGTTTCTAATAGAAAATGTTAAGAATAAATTATTAATATTACTCATATTGATTAAAGTATGTTTTGATGATAGTAGTAGTAGTAATAATAATAATAATAATAATAATATTTAATATTGAATATTTAACAAATAAATTGATCTGTTTGTTTTAATTAGAAGAAAAAGATACTCCATATATGAATGAAAGAAAATTAAGTAAACAATCTTCTTAGAATTATGTGCCGCTGAGTTTAATTCCAAAAAGTTGATAGTATTATTAATAATAATAAAGATATCCTGTTGATAATTTAATTTCAACATATCTACGTATGTGTGGTTTTAAGTTTGTGTGCGTGTGTGTGTTTGTATTAATGTAATCAAAAGAGAGAGAGAGGTAATTAACATTTTGATTATCTTTTTACTATAGCCATACGGATTATAAAAATTTATAAAAGGTGTAAATTAATGGTTTTGAAAAGACCGTTATCACAATAGGGGGTTAAATTGATTAAATATAACAATGAAGGAACTATCTACATATATATATATATATATATATATATATATATATATATATATAATTAGAATAGATTTTCTAATCTGTTAATTAGTGCTATGTTTATCATTGAAATAAGATGGATTTAATAATATTGTCTTGAACTGATGATGAGAATAGTAATTAATTTAAATTTTAGATTTGATTATGTCAAGTAGGCGTTAATCAGATAATCGTATTCAATTTGAACAAAAGAGGACTTTATGTAGATGTTTCAAAGGATTTGAATGAACAATAAAGGTTATATATAAAAGAAACTTAAAAAGTTTATCAAATATTCATGTCATTATTAGTTGTATTATTTTATATAATATATTGTTTTCGTTTTGAATTTATGTACAAATTACCAAGTATTTTTTCCTCAACTTTGATTTATACTGTTTGTATGAAGACGACACTTACATGTAGTAAAAATAGTGAAGGGATATTTCTTCTTGAGGGACCTAAAAGTGTAACTGAATTGATAGTGACAGTCTTGTCGACTTAAGAGAGTGACTCCAAACTACAAGGACCAACAGTTCAAGGATGCTCATACATGGTTTTTAATTTAGTGTTTTCAAAACTTACCGTATGTGTATTGTTTTTAGTACCAATGATTTTTATCTTCTTTTTTCAAGGGAAGGTAAGATCTTTGAAGATTCCGATTATTAGTGTGAAACACCTTACATATTCCTCACTCTAGCACAGTAAACAGTATAACTTTACCACATGGTCTTAATTTGATAACTTGTATTTAACCGAATAACCATTACAATTAGTATAGCACTATTGGGGTTTCATAAAATATAATAAATCATCAAGTCAAGGTTGAAACCAAGGTCCGGGCGAGTACAAATAAATTCATCTAATGAACTACTGAATAATAGAGCGTAATGAACAGTTATTTCATTCTCATGTGTTAATCAACAGTAGCCACTTAAGATACAAAAAATCAAACTCTCAACCTCAATGTGTTATATCGAATACTAGATCTATAATATACTCTGTCAGAATCCAATCGATTTACACTTATCTCTTCAGTTAATTTGTAAATATCATTCGAAGTCACATCATCATCTTTTACAGTTTTCAGATGATGAAAATACATGAAAAAAACCATCACCAAGCTTACATCAACAGTTATTTATTACGATATTACTTATGTAATCTAATTTAAACAAGAAATATTTAATTTCGTTTTCATATCAAGTTAACAAATTCTGTTAATCATAGTAATAATTATACTCATAAAAATAATAATTTTGCTTTTAATATACTCTATTGAACTTCAATGAATGAAAATGATTTTGTTGATAAGTGGATTGAAAACTTTTCATATCAATCACACAAGATTTAATAGATCTTACAAAGTAGAGTTTATAATGAATAAAATAAAACATATTGGAGCCATTATCAAGTACTGTATATTAATCTCTGGTTAATTAATCTACAATATTTCGAAATGTCAATCAGTTCATATGTATCTATTTGCCTCAGTAATATATATATGCCATTTAAAGTTTAGACCGTTATAAACGAAAAATGTCGATGAACAAAAATGCACTGTATTCACAATTATTTAGCAATGAAAATAATATTAGACTAGATTGTCTGGAGTTTCATATTGTAGACAGTTTTGACAAAATGACATACAATCAGACAGGTAATTATTTAAATCATTGACTAACTAACCATCTAACTAACTGATTGACTGACTAACTACTAACTTGACTAAAAACTCAATTTTTTATTTAGAAACATTGATGAATTAAATAAATGATAAATGATACAGTCATTATTATGAATTATGTTGTTTCATTTATAATAAAGGAAATTTTTCATTAGTCAGAAAATGTGACGTTATTCAGTAAAATTTAAACATATCTGAACATGCGATTACTACTAAACAAAACTTTTTCTTGTATAGAAGAGAATTATTCAAGTTTTATATGAATATTACAAGGTTTTCCTAGCTAATTCAGTTAGAAGGCCTTTAAAACATTATCCAATATAGGTTAAACAATCATTGTATACAGGGTAGATCTTTAAAAAGTTTCATTCTGAAAAGTAATCTGTTATGAAGTTATAATCATTAGACTTCTTGACTTTAACTCATTGTTAATGAGTTCTTCAGTTGATGTTTTTCAATGAAAATTTCGCTATATTATAGCTTTCAGTGTGGTATGTATCAATGGGCACATGAAAAAATGTTAATCCTAGAAATCTTAGCAGATCATTTGGGTTCGAGGAATATTTCACTAAATTCGTCATTTAAAGCTAACGGAAGTTTGAAAAAGTGATAAACTATTTGATACAAACTCACCACCATGTGAGTGATGTACTCTCTCTCTCTCTCTGAGACCTGTTAACAATTAATTGTGGACTCGTAAATACATATGTGTAGGATGTCACAAAATAAGAAGTAACTTGGCTTTCGTAGGTTTTAATATATATAACATTTCATGTGAAAAAACGATTGAGTACTTTGTTTGGTAACTGAGTGATAAGATGGTAATGAGAAATAGCAACAGTCATAAATTTATAAATGAACTTCAAATCCCAAGATAAAAACAAATGCTGTAAATATTGTTGTTTATTTGATTTTAATAACATCGAAAACATTTTCATGCTTATAACAATAATTCTATTATATTTTTCGGTTCATTAACCTTTTTCATGGTAAACAGAAATAGTTCATTTTAATGGTTTTTTAGTGTATTGCGCAAATAAATTGAAAGATAGCAAGTAGGAGATTGTTTAATAAATATTTTACTCATATTAACTAGAATTAGAATATTTGGTTCAGAAATCAGTGGTATTAAGTTAAAAGCCTTATAAGTAAAGATGGATGGTGGTTAGCAGTGGAATCCAGGACACGCGTTTCGTCCAGCTTGGGACTCGTCAGTTGAACGCGCCTACATCTCTCAGGTGATGTTCACTCTGGGACTGGAACCAAGTACCGTTCATTTCCAATGCCATCAAGTTATCCATTTAGCTATTGAATCCTGAATGAACATCAAGTGTGGGATGCAAGTAAATCCGTCTGACGAATACAAAGTTAGGACGAAACTGGTGTCCTGGATTCAACTGTTAGCCGGCATTCATCTTTGCTAGTAATGCTTGTGAATTAAGGCAATCTGGAGGCAATCCACATAGGATATACATATGCTGATGAGAGACTGATC